GGGCTGTCCATAGGCACGGACATTATAAGTCTAGCAGGGAGCTCTGTGGATGAGGATGGCGAGGAGCAGGCGAGCGAGAGAAGGAGGGGGGGGAGATGGGGGAAGGGCGATGGCAACAGAGGGAGAAGAGGGGGGGATGAGGAAATGGATGGGGGGGCCAATCGGGGATCTGCTCGGGGGTCTCTGTCGTGATTGTCGGAGCCTCCAAGCGCCCCTGACGGACATAGTAGAGCCTCTGAAAGGACTGTTGCCCGTCTTCGGCCGGACTTGGAGTGCTTCGCAGTGTTCTTGCGGGGGACTGCGGCTTTGTGCGCACGTTAGCACATGGCCTTTGGTTAAAGGTGTTTCTTGCTGGGCTCATCGTGGCTGTCTGGCCACGGCCGCTTCCGTCACGAGCTTTGATTCAAGCCGTCTCTGGCGCCATGTGGCAAGGCTATCGGCTGTCCGGGTCATCCGATTCGTTTGAACCGTGCGGCGTGCCCCATGAGCCGGAACGGGAACAAGAGCTACGTTGTGGGCGTTCCTGGCGTTGTCGTGGCAGGGAAGATGGAGATGGAGGCGCTCTTCAGGATTGTGTCCCGGTGTTGAGGAGGCGTGTTTACGGTAAGCGGCCGTGTCGGCACTTGGCTGAAGATCCTGAGCAGGTCGCGGGACTTGATCTTTGGGCGCAGTTGCACTGGTTCGGCTTCTGGCGTGGAGACCTACGAAGAGTAGCACCGCCGTGCGAGTTGCGGCGACTCCTGCGTTCGCTGGACAGCTTTATTAACCGCAGGAGCAGAAGCCTTTACTACATGAACTTCCCTTCCCTCGTCAGCATGATTTCCTGGGCTCCGCCTCAGGTTCACGGGGACTACCAGCAGCTTGGCAAATACCTCGGGATGCTGCAAAGCCTTCCGCGGCCTCTCTCTGTCCGGGAGGTGGCTTCCTCAGACGAATTGATGCAGTGTTGTCTAGCCTTCACGGACCCCGTTACCGCAGGATCAGCTTGCTGTGCCAGCCGCCGCTTCCGCATGTTAGCCGAATCGGATGAAGTGTGGCACAGCTTCTTGGTTGCTCACTGGCCTGCCTCGCAGGGTTTGTGCAAGAGCAGGAGCAGTAAATCTTGCTACGCCTACAGGGTGCAGCTGACGCGCGACGCGGCTAAGAGGTGCGGTGGGAGAGACCATGTGGGCATGTGGGAAGATCCTGATGCTGACCAGTGGATGGCTGAGCAAGCCGCGAGGTACCAGCTGATGGTTGAAATGGTTGTTGGCCAAAGGGTGCTTCTTGCCACTACACTGGACCTCTCATCTTCTTGTCTTCGGCCTCTCCCGCCACCGTGCCTTCGTCGTTGACACAGCGCACAGAGGTCGCTTCGGGTCTCTGGAGGTGCCTCTAGGGGTCACTCGGGGTACTTCTCGGGCGCCTCTGAAAGGCCCCTTAGGGCCTCTCGGAGGTTGTTCCCAACCATCCTGTGGTGTTGGGTCCTCGTTTTGAAGAGACGGTCCCCGAGTTCCCTTCCTCATCTCCTCCTCTTCCCCCTCCTCCTCTCCACCGCCCGCATGCGTCCCCCACACCCTTTTCGGCACATCCCTCACATGTTTCGTGGCCCAATAGGGAGCCCCACCGAAGCCCCCAGTGGGATCGCCCGCGTGCGTCCCCCACACCCAATTTGGCATTTTCACTCACCCAGTACAGCGTTTCGTGGCCCCATAGAAGCTCCACCGAAGCCTCCCAGTGGGACCGCCCGCATGCGTCCCCCACGCCGAATTTTGCATTTTTGCTCACCCAGTACAGCGCTTCGTGACCCAATAGGGAACTCCACCGAAGCCCCCAATGGTACCGCCCACATGCGCCCCCCATATCCAATTTAGCATTTCCACCCACCCGGTACAGCGTTTCGTGGCCCAACAGGGAGCCCCACCGAAGCCACCAGTGGAACCGCCCGCCTGCGTCCCCCACACCAGATTTGGCATTGTCACCCACCCAGCACAGCGCTTCGTGGCCTCATGGGGAGCTCCACCGACGCCCCCTGTGGGACCGCCCGCATGCGTCCACCATGCACAATTTGGCATTTTCATCCACCCAGTACGTCGCTTCGTGACCCCAAAGGGGGCTCCACCGAAGCTCCCAGTGTTACGGCCCACATGCGTCCCACACATCACATCTGGCATTTTCATCCACCCAGTACGGCGCTTCGTGCCCCCTGAGAGCCCCACCGAAGCTCCTAGTGTTACGGCCCACATGCGTCCCACACATCACATTTTGCATTTTCATCCACCCAGTATAGCGCTTCGTGGCCCAATAGGGAGCACCACCGAAGCCCCCAGTGGGACCGCCCGCATGCGCCCCCCCCCACACCCAACTTGGCATTGCCACCCACCCAGTACAGCGTTTCGTGGCCCCATAGGGAGCTCCACCGAAGCCCCCAGTGGGACCGCCCGCATGCGCCCCCGACACACAACTTGGCATTGCCACCCACCCACTACAGTGTTTCGGGGCCACATAGGGAGCTCCACCAAAGCCCCCTGTGGGACCGCCCGCATGCGCCCACCGTGCACAATTTGGCATTTTCACCCACCCAGTACAGCGCTTCGTGACCCCATAGGGGGCTCCACCGAAGCCCCCAGGGGTACCGCCCACATGCGCCCCCCACATCCAGTTTTGCATTTTCAGCCACCCAGTACAGCGTTTCGTTGCCCAACTCCGTGGCACCCGGGGGGCTCCACCGAAGCCCCCAATGGGACCGCCCGCATGCGTCCACCATGACCAATTTGGCATGTTTCACCCACCCAGTACAGCGTTTCGTTGCCCCATCGGGATCTCCACCGAAGCCCCCAGTGGGACCGCCCGCATGCGTCCCCCACAGGGGGCTCCACCGAAGCCTCCAGTGGGACCGCCCGCGTGCGTCGTCCCCCACACACAATTTGGCATTTCCACCGACCCAGTGCAGCGCTTCGTGGCCCCATAGGGAGCCCCACCGAAGCCCCCAGTGGGGCCGCGCGCATGCGTCCCCCACACCCAATTTGGCATGTCCACCCACCCTTTACAACGCTGCGCGGCCCCATGGGGAGCTCCACCGAAGCCCCCAATGGGACCGACCGCGTGCGTCCCACACACTTAATTGGTAGTTTCACCCACCCAGTGCAGCGTTTCGTGGCCTCATAGGGAGCTTCACCGACGGCCCCAGAGCTACCGCCCGCATGCGTTCCCCCCCCGCCCAGCGCAGCGCTTCGTGGCCCCATAGGGAGCTTCACCGAAGAAGATATTCACAATTGCGGTACCCACAAGTTCATACGGTTGGGTCCTTCGCCAGGATAATTGTCCTTTGGACCTCGGGGCCGTGAGGAGGGCTTTTTGCGCGCTTCTTGTTCGACTTTTGCGCTGTTCTTTGATAACTCCCAGAATGGGGGGGGGGCTTGCAACGATGCCCCAGGCTGCTCGGGGGTCCCAGAAGGGGTGACTGGGGCGTGGGGGGAGGAATGCGATAACGAGCGAGAAGGCGCGCGGACGGAGGACGAGGCGGAGGAGATGCGATGATGAAACGGAGGGTAAGTGGGTGGTGCAAGACGACGATGATGATTCTTGATCCGCACTATGCGGAACATGACGAAGGACGACGTTGGATGAGAAATCTGACGAAGATGTGGACATGAGGAATCGAATTGGATGAAGAGGGTGAGGGGTGGTGCAGGAATATGATGAAGAGCGGTGGCAGAGGATGAAATTGTGCACGCTCTCCCGCATTGCAGCGCCGCAGCGTGCCATGTCAAGGCAGCTCCAACATCACTCTGGGACCACGTGGGGCGCCCCGAGGCGCCATAGTAATAACGTGATACCCATGTTGTGAGCATGTGCATCCAGGTGTTGTTCGTACGGCCGCAGGCCCTGAAACGCCAGGAAACATGGCGAAGCAAAACATGATAAGGAATGGGACGCGGAGGAGGAGGAGGAGGAGGAGGAGGAGACGGAGACGGAGACGGAGGAGGAGGAGGAGGAGGAGGAGGAGGAGGAGGAGGAGGAGGAGGAGGAGGAGGAGGAGGAGGAGGAGGAGGAGGAGGAGGGGCGCCCCCCGCCACTCGTCGGTGCTCGGCCGCGCCGTGGCCTCGACGCCAGCGCGCCCGAGCGGGCAGGGGCTGTCCTGGACCCTCTCGGGGCGCCCCCGGGGGGCGCTCGCTGGGCCCTCGACCCTCGGACCCGCCTGGGCTTCTCGTGGGCCTCTCTCTCTCTCGGCCTCTTCTCTGGGCCTCGCGGGGCCCTCCTCGTGCTCCTCGGGGGCTGCCTGGGGTCCTCCTGGAAGCCCGTCGTCGGGGCCTTCTCGAGGCTTCCATGAGGCCAGTCGGGATCATGTTTCGCCGAGCGCGTTCCGCTACTCGCAAACTGCCTGCCCGCAAACGGATGAACAAAAACAGGTCTGCATCGATGTGATAAATCGAACATGTCCCATGGCGGATCCAGGCCATCTGCGAGTAGTCACTCTGCGAGTAGTGGAACGCGCTTGTCTAGTGTTGGGCTCGGCCTCCGTCGGATTTTTCGGGCCCTGTGGGGCCTCCTTGGGTCCACTTTCGGGCTTCTGAGGCCCATCTCGCGCAGAGAGGGCGAGCACGCCCAGCTTATCGAACAGCTAATTCTTTGTTCAGGACTTTGGGCTTCTCGGGTGTTCCTTGAGAAGCTCCGGTGACAGGGGCTCAGTCGGGGACGATCTTGGCTGGCGCGGTCTTGGAGCGTATCTTGGGCCTCATTGCGCACTGGAGGTAATTGGGCCATTTCGGGGGCTTCTATGGCCTGCTTGGCTTTTTTGGGGCCTCTTGGACCCAGGAGGTGAGTTGGCGAGCTCGGCCCCCCGTCGAGGGGGACTTTGGACTCCAGGCCTTGGGGGGAAAGAGGAGGGTGACAGCCAACTATCTCACACGCCTTGTCAACCTTGGCGCACGGGGTTCGGCGAATACGATTCTGATCAGGAGGACATTTGCGCGCTGGTCCCAGGAACGTGTAGATTTCCACCTACTGGCTTCGATGAGATGGGGGGAGGGCTACGTATGACGCTCACTCTCATTCGCAAGGGGGACGGCAAGTGTTTGGTCGTGGGCGATCGGATGGATTTTGCTTGTCGTCTACCCGATGGCGACGTGCTGCTCGGATTTGGTTCCAGCCCTGTCACGCGTCCTTTTGACGAGACACTGTACGTTCTTTCAAAGCTTCCTGTATGCAACCTGGTGTTGCGCAGCCGCACCGAGCACTGGTTTCTGCACGAGGCCTCGTTCACACCAGTTGTCAGAGAGGAGGACAGCTTGGTCGGCGTCTCACGCATCTCCATTGGCTTGCACGGGGTGTGTGACAGGGAAGACAATGCGAGGTTTCCCGCGGCCGTCTTTGCCACTTGGGACGAGCTAGCACCCTGGATATGAGTTATCAAAATGCCGTCCTATGTGCCTTCCTCGTCTTCTCTGCTGGATACAGTGGTGCTTAGCACTACTTGGAGGTGCGTGTAGGTCAAACGAGCACACACGGCACCGACGAACCAATATAGTCCCCCATGGTCATGACGCCGTGGGTTGAGATCACCCAAGCATCAGCCAGGAAACAGACCACGGAGATGTCGTCTACTCGTTTTTGCTTTGTTGCTGTCTTGTTTTGGTTTGTGGTGCGCTACGACATTTCGACCTGACAGGGCCGCTGACAGGAGGAGACGGCAGGAACACTTACGGAGCCGAAGGGCGGGCAGGCGATGATATGGAATGAGGGAGGGTGGAGGGATGAGGGAGGGAGGAGGGGAGTGAAGGGGTTGTTGGGGCAGGTCGGGTGAGGAGGATTCGGAAGAGGGGAGACAGAGCAAGCTAGGCGCGCTCGCGCCATAGTTGGCATCCTGTCCTTCCGCGCATCCAGCACTACGTAAAAGCATTGCGTATAAGCATGAACTAAGAAATCATCAGGTACAAAACACAACGAACAACACACTACGTACAATTCACTACGTAACATGTTAGCCAGCGTGGACCCCAAACAGTGATTTCGTCCAATCTACGCGGCGCAAGCAAGGTGGTGCAATCAATGCGGTGTTCTCTAGATGATGCAACCCATGTGGTGCAGTTTATGTGGCGCACGGGAATGCACCGCAATGCAACGCCATGCACACCAATGCGACACAATTTAAACCAAGGCAAACCGATGCAACACAATGCATAGCACCGCAAAGCAACGCAACGCACTACAAACCACTACAAGCCAGTGCAAAGCAACCCAACGCAACGCTGAGCTATGCTGAGCCATGCTGAGCAGTGCAAAGCAATGCACAATAATGCACATCAATGCACAACAATGCAAAGCAACTCACAGCAATGCACATCAATGCAGCATTCTGCAACGCAACGCAAAGCAGGGCAACTAATGCAATGCACTGCGCACTGCATGCGAACCAATCAGCACTGGCAAACTAATGCAATGCAATGCAATGCAATGCGAACCACCGCAATACACGGCATAACAATACAAAGCATTCCAGATCAACACAAATCAATGCAACACAATCCAGAGCAATGCCACGCAATACAAAGCAGTGCACAGTCATGCATACACATAAACATGAAAGCACGGCAGCGCACGCCAACGCATCGCAACGCACCACTGCAACGCAATACAAATCAATGCAACGCAATGCAAACCAATGCATTGCAAGACCCTGCCATGCAGAGCAAATCAAAGCACTGCAAATCAATGCAACGCAATGCAACGCAATGCAAATCAGTGCACAGCATTGCAACGCAATGCAAAGCAATGCAACACAATGTAAACCAATGTAAAACAATGCAATTTCATGCAATGCAAAGCCTCGTGGTTGCACTGCAGTGCAATTACATTGCTGTGCCCTGGCGACGGGCGGCGGCAGGCGGCGACAAGGCAGCAACGGCGGCTACATGGCGGCCAGGGCGTCCCGCAGGCCCAGCCGATAGGCGGGGACGGGTGGCGACGAGGCGGCGACGGCGGCCACATGGCGGCCAGGGCGGCCCGCAGGCCTAGTTCCTCAGGAAGCAAGCCGGATACCCCAAGCGCAAGCACTGTTTGGGGAATGTCCACACAGTGCGTTGACGTAGTGTCCGACGCACTACGTAAGTACATGCTCTACGTAAGCACCACGTAATACAACATGTAAAACGCACTACGTGAACCACACGCCATGTAATTTATTTGCGCAGCGGTGTCACGTTGTGTGTAAAGCACGATGTACAGTAACCACTACGTGTACTCTATATATGTATATGTATGGATATGTCGATGTGTATGTGTTTGCATATAGGTATGTCTATGTATATGCATGTGTATATGTACACGTGTATGTGCATGTGTATGTGTATATGTACGTATATATTGATGTAAATGTGCAGGTGCATGTAGATGTATAGGTTTATGTTTTCGTGTTTGCATGTTTGTGTGTATGTGTGCATGTATGTATATATGTTTATCACATGTCTATGTATCTGTCTGTATGTACGTACATGTATTTGTATATGCATGTGCTTATGCATGTGTGCTTGAATACGTGTACGTATATGTCTGTATATATATATAAGTATATGGAAGTACTTTTGTATGTGTGCATGTGTATGTACATGCATATGCATCTGTATATGCATACGTAGGTGTGTGTTTGAATCTGTAAATGCATATATATATATATGTAGCTGCGTATGTATATGTATATGTAAATGCATACGGATACGAACGATCATATGTCTATGTTTATGTCTATGTACATGTATATGTGCATGTACGTGTACATCATTTATATATATATATATCTATGCGTACATGAACAGGTGCATCTACCTGTATACGTGTATGTAGTTGTTTGTGTGCGTGTATATGTAGATGTAATGTTATATGTATATGAATATGTATGTATACGTATGTATATATATATAGATGTAGATGTATATGTAAGTATGTATGTATGTCCACCTCTCTCTCTATATATATACGGCGAGGCGTTCCACAAAGGGCCTTGCCTTCGAGGACCGAAGGAGTTGTCATCTCTTCCGCGGCGGAAGGCGGCCGATAGCCGGCGGAAGTCAAACGAGGCCGCCTCCGCCGGCGGAAGCTGGCGGAAGGGCGGCGGAAGGCGCGGAGGTAAAACAATGCGCCCCCAAGAGATGAACACGTTTTTGGGTTCCGGGTTTTCGGAATCGCCCACGCACAAATAGATACATGTATTTATAGATGTATGTATATACATCTATATATGCTCCCCCCCGGTGATCCACCTTATTGCTGCTCTACTGCCCCACTGACTATGTGACCTTCTGTAGCTCATTTCCCACAGTTGTTTTTCACGCGCAAGGATCAACGTGCGTTTGCAGCGCCTTAAAGTCCCTATCGCTAAATCGCAGTAGCGAGTCCGCAGCATCTCACCCGTGCGCACCCACAGGTCCTGGCCTTTCTCCCAGTACGTCCACTGAGCAGGACGAACATGTCTCCACATGGACCTGTTGTTGACCTAATGCGTGCGCCTGCCCATGTGCGTTCCCAAGTGGGACCAGAAGCGATCGATGATCTGCGTGCCTGTTTTGACGAAGAGGTTCTGCCCGTCAGGGAGGATGTGTTTCTTTATCTCCGAGTATGTTGGTTTCACCCGTACTGTCGTTCCTTTGATGACGGTCTTCTTTTTGCAATGCACGACGTTGTCGTGGATGACCCGCAAAGCACCCGAAAGGCACCCCCCAAGGCGCCCGCAAAGCACCCGAAAGGCACCCCAAAGGCACCCGCGAATCGACCACATCAAATTCCAAGAAACATACATCTTCGAAAGTGCTGCATGTGCGATTGAAGGTGTCTCCCTGGTGTCTCCCTCGTGTCTCCTCGGGTCTCCTTGGGAGATCTCCAACAAGCACCCTGAAGGCATGCGGAAGGCACCCGATGAGCAGCTCGAGGTTACCCGAAACGGCACCCGAAAGGCACCCGAAACGCATCGCGGAAGAAGGCGAGGAAGCCAGGTTAGCTTTGACAGAACGTCGTCTTCGTCGTCCTGTTGATCCCTCCTCTCCACCCCTTTTAGATGTGTTCCTCTCTCCTCCTCCTCCTCCGCCTCGTCCTTCTCTCCCCCCTCTTCCTCTTCCCCCTCCTAATGATCATCCTGCTCCTTCTGCGTCTTCTGGCGCTCCTCTTGGGCTTCGGAAGACGCTGCGCTCGCGATGTCTTCCTGGCTTCTCCCTGGTGTCTCCCTCGTGTCGTTCTTTCGTTTTTGTTTCCTAAGGCCGCTGAAAATCTCCAATGGGCGTTCCGAGGGGCAAAAGAGGGCATGGGGACAAAGGAGACAAAAGGAACAACAGGGGGGCACACGGGGACAAGAGGGGACAGAAGGGACAAAAGGAGAAAAAGGGGACCAAGGGGACAATGACAACAAAAGGGGACGAACGGACAAAAGCCACACGATAATGACACAAGGGGACGAAAGTGGGCGAAGGGGACACAAGGGAACATGACGGAAACTAACGACAACATTCGACAATGGAGACACAAGATGAGGAAACGGAGACAAAAGGCGCAAAGGAGACAAAAGGGGACAAGGGGACAAAGGGGGGCAAAAGGACAAAAGGCACACAAAAACAACGTAAAAAGACAAACGGGACAAAGGGAAGAACAGGGGGCAAAAGGGAACAACAAGGGACAAGAGGGACAGGGGGGACACGAGGGGACAAAAGGGGACAAAAGGGACAAAAGGGGACAAACATTGACAAAAGGAGCAAAACGGGCAAACGAGGACACAGGCGACAAAAGGGGGATACACGAGGATAAGAGGGAACGAGCGGAACAAAAGGGCACAAAGGAGACAAAAGAGGACACGGGGGACAAAAGGGGGCAAAAGGACAAAATGCACACAAAAACGACCCAAGAAGACAAACGGGACAAAGGGGACAAAACGGGGCAAAAAGGAACGCAAAAGGGATTAGAGGGACAAAAGAGGATTAGAGGGGACAAAAGGGGGACAAAGGGGACAAAAGGGGACAAAAGGGGACAAAAAGGAACAAAAAGGGCAAAAGGGACAGAAGAGGACACAGGCGACACAAGGGGGTAAAAGAGGAGAAAAGAAACAAGAAGAACAAGAGGGCACAAAGGAGACAAAAGGGGACAAGGGGGACAAAAGGGGGCAAAATGACAAAAGGCGCACGAGAACAACGCATGAAAACAAACGGGGCAACGGGGGCCACAGGGGTCAAAAGGGAACACAAAAGGGACAAGAGGGACAAAAGGGGACACAAGGGGACAAAAAGGGACAAGAAGGACAAAAGGGGACAAAAAAGGACAAAAGGGGTAAGAGGGACAAAAGAGGACACAGGGGACAAAAGGGGACAAAAGGGGATCAAAGGGAACAAGTGAAAAAGATGGAACAACATATTGACACGGCGCCCGCAAG